GTATTTTGTGAAACTTTTAGGTCTTTCTATTTGTTCTTATCCTGAAATGACAACATCAAATCTTTTGGTTTATCTGAATAACATTATCATAGTTGTATCTACCGATAACAACAGCAAAAAGGTCTGAAACTTTGATAAAATACTATTTTCGGTAAGGTCTGTTTATATGTAAAGTTCCCAAGTCGAAATTCGAAAATAATTTTTTCCAGTGTTCCTGAGGGGGGTCACAGCTTTCATTTAAAAACGTACCGTAAAAGTGCAGTATCTCCGTAGCAATAAGCTAGCAGCCCGAACTTCTTTCAGGGTATTCATAACTCTTTTATACCTATATAATGCACATAGGCTCAACGCAAAAACGATTGATCAGTTGGGGACCTTCCCTCGTCCGAAGGAGCTGTCTGTAAGACTGACAAAAGCTTAAAAGGATTTGTCTTCATTGGTCTTTGCCGATGAGTTATCCAAAATTTTTTTATATATGCATAGGTCTAATAGCTGCTGAAATATTCTGAAAGTTAATATACATATTCTATGAGCAAATTTTTGAATTGATAACTCAGCAGGCCGATTATAACTCGATGAAAAAAGTTCATGAGAACGAACTCTTTTAGACTTCTTCTAATCTTACTTAGACTTATCATAGATCTAATATGAACTCAAACGGTTGGTGTTAGTTGCAGATGATTTTCTTGTTAGTACATTTTATTCAAATGCAAAATGAAAAGTTCTACAAATCTTATTTTCTAAATACATTCTTTGTGTTTAAACATGGATAAAATTCTGCGTGCTTATACTACAAGTCAACAAGAAGAAAGCATAGACTAAAAGACTAAGTATCTAAAAATAATTGTCATTTGGTTATTTATATCTAAAAATAATCTCACATGCTCAATCTAAAAGTGAATGACTGTTATATGAGAATTTGATCAATTAAAAACTCAACGTCACATTTCGTGCACATCAGGAATCTATTGTTATAATGTGAAGAAAATCTTATGTATTTTATAAACAATCAGAAAATGATTTTGTTCGCATAGAATTTCATTTATTTTGAAAACAAAGGATACACACATTTATAAAATATAATTTTTATTGAGACTTATAGAACCGTTTACAGTGGCGGATCTAAAATTTTAGAAGGGAAGGGCGATTTTCGAAAGATGCGGCGGTTATAGGCAAAAATCACTTTTTGAGACTTATGCGAGGTAGTAAAGACCAGCTGTTCGTACGTTTTTGCTGAGAAAAAACAAAAAAAATCTCTGGAAGGGGGAGGCAATCGCCTGATCGCCATCCCCCTAAATCCGCCACTGACTGTTTATGATAATTCAATAGATAAAAAGTTGCATAGATGGAATAAACCTGATTATTATATAATGATCTTATTTAATACTCTTGTTTGTCTTAATTACATAATTAAGTTACCTTCTTGCTCTCATGCTAATCATATCGGTAGAAAGAGTGCAGACTCTCTAGTAACCACTTCTTAATCATGCGTTCTGTCATGCCTTTAATTTCATATTTGAATCATACGATTATTCAAAGAAATACCAATTTCATAATTCATTTGATTAAATAAAATTCAATTTGATTCTATCGAACAACTATTACCATATAAATATGCTCTATCCCCCACTGATCATATTTCCAGAATGAATGCATAACTATACAAATTGAAGCAGATAAAAATTTTCATATTATTTTACTGTTGTTGACAAATATTATTAATCATCGTCATAAATTACACGAGGACAATATCTTCATTCGAGCTAAGACTTTTCTGCTAATAGTAGCAAATGTTCAAAGTATCTACTTTCTTTTTGTTTTAAAACAAGATTTACATAACAAAAAAGGTATACATCTCAAACATTGTCTAGTACATCTAAATACATATTCAGAATATAGGTTAAGATATTATCTGTCTGTTTTTTTTTCTCGAAAATAGTAAGAAAATCTTAGAAAGACTTAAAAAATTAGCTTCAAAGGAAATGTTTTAATAAAATTTTGTATTCTACTATTAGGATGTGAAAGTTTTGTTTATATATCAACTTATAGAGAAAAATTCGCCGAAAAAAAAAAGTGCTGTATGAATTGCATTTCGTCTTTCAATAAAGTGCCTTAACTGTTGTTTATCTATCATCTTCATTTTTGAAAAATCGATTTTTTTTTTCATTTTTAATGAAAGGATGGAATGTTACTCCTGAGAAAATGCTTATAGCTTCACTTAAACAAAAGTGATAATCTAGTTCAATAGAGTTTTTAGCATCTTCATAAAATGACTTATACAATTACCAAAAATCTGTTGTTTTTTTTTTCGCCATCCCGATCAATTTTTACAGGTCATTGAAAGTTTTTTTCTCATTACTCTCGAACAAAAACAGACGCAAAAAGAAAAATTCCCGAATTCATATTCGAAAAGAACATAAAATTATAACATTTTCTAATGAATCGTTATTTCAAAACTAAGTGACTTTCTTTAGGGCATATACCTGAATATGTATGTTGAATTCGAACTAAATATTCTGATCTATTAACATTAGATTGTGTAAATAAATCAACATTATTCATTGGAAAACATTGTTCTTTACATTTTAAATTTAATTTATCATAAGTAATTATTGATCCATCAGTTAATGCAATAAGTATTTGTCGACCTAAATGTCCTTGAAAATCATTATCTTTAATTAATAATTGACTTGGTGATAATGCTATTGATGTAATATGTGCTTGTGGTGAATTAAGTAATGTTATTGATATCCATTCTTCTTGTTCAAGATTATATTCATAAAGATCAATTAAATCCCCACTTAATGTTGTCATTTGTGTAAGAATACAATCATTTCCATTACGTTGAAAATAAACTAATGATTCAAGTGTACCATAACATGATGGTATACGAAAACCACGACGTCGACATGATATATAAGATAATTTAGGTTCTAAGGTTTCATAATGAACAACAAAAAAATGAACAAGTGCACCTTGTATACGTTCACCAAGAATAATATTAAAACCTTTATCTGTTGCTGATATATCACATAGAGATACATTAAGTGGATCATTTTGAGAAAGAAAATAACGATATGGAGTTAATGATCGATTAATTGGTAATGTATGAACCTAAATATAGAGCAATTATATTCTTTTTGTTATCATCAAAACACTTAATTTAATCCATGTATAGGATTGGATATATGATACAAGGGAATAATCTATTAATGAGAGAATATTTTCAAATGTCTACTTTCGATTTCAGTAATTTTTTTTTTGCTTATAGATATTATCTATTGTTCTAATAAGAATCCTAAAACGATTTGGATTTCTATTGAGATTTGACTAAGCTATCGAATTTAGATCTGAGACTTTACATATATTGAGAATTTAACTACATTAAATTCCATAAAAATGATTCGAACACAATGCTGTATCTATAGATAAAATCAAAAGAGAACATCTGAAGATGTTCTCTCGAAAGTTGTCTCAAGTTTTTGATATTCAATTGAGTGTGTCTACAGGTAGCGCACTCATCCACAAAGACTTTTTTGATTAGAGATATTCAAAAAAGTTTACACTCCTGAAGATTTTCTCGTTCTAAACAAAATATTTGCAATTGTGTTTATACATCAGACAACAGACTTCACGATATTGATATTTCGTTTTTTGAAAAAAAGTTCTCACTAAAACAAAAAAAGCATAGTTTTTACAATTTTTCTAGTAGAAAAATATGATCTACTAATATCAAATTGTAGTTAAATATTCGATAATACTATTATTATTATTTCCATTTTGTGGAACTCATATATGTTTTCGAAGAAAAGTTTGAAGACGGCAACAGTAAGATCTTAGTAGAGATAATGTTGTCGGAGAAAGCAAAAATTGTTGAAATTAAGTTTTTAATAATTTTACGCAAACAGCAATTTAACAAAAAATATCTGACAATCAATCATTTTTTATTAAGTTTCTTTTGTTTTATCCTTAGCAACAACAAATGAT